CTTAAAATGGTAGTTATTCTATTAGGTTTTTATCGAGTTTAAAAGAGACAAAAAATAATCTGACTTCTTTTTAATATTTTTACGGTCATTGCAATATCTTTCATGCACTTCTTCACTTGCTACGTATCTAATACCCATTAGTAAATGGCTGCATCTGAAAACCGTAACTGAATACAAGAGTTTGTTCCGGCATTCTGATCCAGAGTTACGTCAAATATGAATCTGTAAATGATGGCCGTAGATCATTATAGAAGTTACCCAACTGATTCGTCTCTAGTTCATTTCTAGAACAATGAGTAGGCTGTAAAATATGGACAATTGGGGTTTTCCCTGTATCTGGTCTTGAACCAAATCATCTCTTCTTTCATCCTGTAACTTGCATTAATTAACAAACTTAGGAAATGGAAAATGAGTAATGTAAGGGATTTGGCGAAGATATTGCATATTAGCCAGTCTATCAGTAACTAATTTCTCAAAGGATAGTTTGTCTGAATTTGATACCTGAAAAAAATGGACCACTTGAAGAGACCAAATATGCTCATTTATCAAAGAAAACATTTTCGACCGTAATTAACTGTATATTTTCTGAATTGCAGTCTTTCAACTGTATATTAAATGTATATTTTCTGATTTGCAAGCAATCAATTTCCATGTCACAAGAAACTTTTCTGTTTGTTTCGCTGAAATTTGTTACAATAGCTTTAGTGTAACCGTTTCATTGCTTCAATCTTGCTTGAAAACTTTCACTATCTTTAGCCGTTTTTAATGTTTAACATAAAGTAAAAATTAAGACACAATAACACGCCGAATAAATACTAATTCAGAAGTCAAACAACAAAAATCAGCGTTATATTTACAAAATTTTCACAGTGAAATTTCTGTGAAAATTTTGTAAATATTAACGCTGATTTTTGTTGTTTGACTTCTGAATTAGTATAAAGTAAAAATCTCAAGATTCTTCTATTTTTTGCCAGAAATGATATTAGTTCATATGTGATGAATTTTGCCCTTATTCCAATTAAGTAATAATCGAAACTTTATTATACTAAGAATCATATATTGATGAAAATTAACGATACTTTAATTTCTGCTACGTATAGATGCCTCAGCTAACTACATCGAAGTTCTTAATTTTTTTCAATTGATATATACAAGTATTTTTATTATAAAAATGTTATAGGATTTTTAACTTCAGAATAGTTTTAAATGCCTTTTTGAAACCAGAATGACTGTTAATTATAAATTAAGATTGCTGCTTAATACCTTTAACTCCATGTGTCTGCAGTGTATGTATGTTTAATTAATCAGATTTGATTAATTACGGCAAATCATTAGAAGATTATCCTTCTTAAAACTCTTGAAAAGATTTTTAAGAGAAACTGATTTGTCAATATACATCCATTCGTGAACTTTATAAATAGTCATAGAAATGAAAAGATATATACTAAGGCTGTTAGTACATTTTTAGAAGATTTTCATATTATTTACAGAAATATTTTACCTAAAATTTTTGTGTTTTAAATATTCCATTTAATAACCCTTATTCCTCATTATCTTTCTACGTCGTATTTTTTAAGACAGTAAAGCTTTTTTCTTAGAATAGCGGAACAGGTATTTTGTTACATTCCTCTTAGCTTTCCAAAGTCCTAAGACGGTTGTAAGTCTATGTCTGGACAATATTCCGCTTTTTAAAAGTCCAAAAGAGCAAAAATCCGTGGATGATACGTCAAGAGACTTAGTAGGGATATGAGTGAAGGGTATGGCCTTACAAGTTTCTTATTCTATTTTTTCCAGGAAATTAACAGTGGATTTTAACTTGCGGCTGCCTGCTTTCTCTTGATGCAGTTCTACTAATTGATGGCAATGTGGGTAAAGAGAATGTATTTCATATTTGAAAATTGAGTATAACATATGTTCCTGATAATATGTGGAGTTGAACTTAGCAATTTTCGGAACTCCCTTTAATTTTTATTTGTCATCATATCAAAAATCAGCAACAGTCATAAATCCCTTTGAAAACCTTTCTTTAGATTCTTTGAATGATATTCCAAGATTTTTTCTTCACTTTGATGATAATAAATGGGCGTATTTCTATTGCAGTCATTTAAATATATCCACGATTCATGTATTGCGACAACATATTTTTTTTTGTTTTAGTCCGAATAATTATTTCTCATAAAGAATTCTCTAGCATGTCAGCTTTCGGCGATATTTCGTGGAGAAACACGATGCCCATTACGTTTTTTTGCCGTTTTATGAGTCAAATCAGCATTAATTACTTTGTTTAGGGTTGATACTGAGCATTTTAATGGCTATACAACTGTCCTTTGAATTTGAAGATTTTCTTTAACGCTAAAGTTCGCACCTTTGCAACATTCGAAACATTCCGTTTTTTTCCTTGGATATATATTTTGAACATGTTTTTTCCCTGGAAGCCAAAATTTGACATTTTTTTTCTTTTTTGATAATATTAGTTAAAGTTGCATTAGATATCGAAAACTCGTGGCTTTCACAGCATTTTTTAATAACTATAAACGAATAATTTTCTTCAAAAAGAGCTCAAAGCCGTCCATTCATTGCCTCTTCAAAAGCGCCATTTTGCTTGAAAACAAAATTGGCAAATAGCAAACGATGATTTACACTTTAAAATCATAGTTGCAATTAAAAAAACATTTCCCGGAAGGCAATTCTTTTATAGCAAAGCAAAGTCGTCAAAAACTGTGTGACCAACCTCTATATATTTTCAAGTTTTAATAACATTCTAAAACATTTTATTTCTTTTCTTTTTACAAATCTACATATTTTAGCGACACAATGATAAATTAAATTATCTCCTCTTAGAAGTTTTTTGCAATCGCTTCGTAAATCTTGGAATTATTTCGAAAGTCTCTTTTTTAATCGGCAACATTTTAAGAATCCTCTGATATTTTTAAGAAAACAACAGTATTAGTTTTTTTAAAGGAAAGTGCTTTAAATATTTAACTCAAGTATTTCTTGAATATTATCGTTTTAAGTATTTATACATTAGAAAAAGCAGTATATGTTAAGCGGCAATATTCTTCATATTCTTACATTAGATTCCCTGTCATAATACAAACAGTATATACTATATTATTTAGGAAATTGTAATTTCTATCAAATATGAAAAATAATTTATACTTTGCTTTTATATTTCATTTTGAAAATCATCACTGTAGTAGTCTGAAGACTTGTAAAGCGATTATTAAATAAAATATCAACATTAAAAAACTTTCAATAATATATGATATATGAAAAGAAACACTAAATGAATAATTATAATAAATGAAAACAAATCTTTGAAAGCTATCTTTTCTGATATCACAACAAGAAGACAGTAACTGGATAACAAATAATCAAACATTAGAAAGATATAGTGTGTTATATTGAAACAGAGCTTACAATGCTTTAAATATTGTGAATTTGTCATTTATTTTTTTAATTAAAATCAATGTTTAAAAGAAGTTTACGTACAATATGAAAACTTTTGCGAATGAAAGTGTTATGTGTGATTCTGGATATTTCATGTATTTATATTAGATATTTAATTCGGTTCTTCCGTTTCTTGCTCGTAAATCATTCCGTAACATTACGTAAACTCATAGATAACATTACGTTAAATTGCCGTAAGATGAAAATGAAAATTCTATATTTCTGTTTATGTTTTACATTATTAAAATGATGTAGAACACAGAGAAATAAATAGCAAATTAAAAACTTCTGCTTGTAAATCTGAGTAACATTAATATTGCTAAAACAGACATAATGTATAGATAAAATACTGTTATGGGTCTAGAAATGGTTAAATTGCAAATATTATAATAAAAACATAAGCAAGTTCATTAAAAATAAAAGTAAATAGACTACAAAAGATAATCTCAAATATTTTCTCTAATTCTCAAATTTAAATAACCTAACAGAACATCAGAGTTTGAAGAAATATTATGAACTCAAAATGTTTCAGCGGTGAGTAGTAACAAATAATAAAGCAATTTCCAATTAATAATAAATTTGAAGCTGAAGCAAATTCTATAAAAATCATTAAAGAAGACATAGGAATAACACATACCCAGTTCCGAGTCATTTCAAAATTACAACAAATTTTGCTAGTGGAATGAAAAGTAGGATATGAAAAGAGATGTAAGAAATGCAAAAAATGAGAAAGGATAATAGCGTAGCTAATCCATGCCATCAGGGAATTAGAAATCAGTCATGCAGGTAGAGACCTCTGATCTGTTTCTGTAACAGATCTAGGATCCTAATACATAATTTGGCTATAAATTAGTTTTACCTGATTTGTTTACGATCATGTAATCCCTACTAGATAGAAAAATTCCATCAAATGGTATGTGTAAAAATGAGCAAATCATATCTAATGTAAGGTTGAATAAATATTAACCAGATCCTTAGATTTGTCCAGATTCCTAAATGCTTAGATTTGAATGCAACTAGACCGGAATTTTCTTTTTTTAATAAAACAATTTGCTTTTATTTTTCTTGTTTCAAAACATAAAAAAATACGTGTGTTATACATATTTAATATAAAATACTTACTACATTTAAAATATAATTATATTAAAAGATACATTTTATAGTATATTCTTTGTTATTTTATTCATATTTTAATTTAAAATTTTCTATTCCGTTTGATTTAAATAATTAGACTTTTAAAATAATTATGAGAAAGTTTACTCAGTTATCATTGTCCACGTTTTCAATATCTTCTCTGTCCTCAATCTTCTAATGATTTACATGTGTCAAACAAATTTAATTTCTTTCGATTTAAAACTACTTGCTTGCAACCTGTTTTGCGTATGTATCAAAATTTAGATAATCATTCCCCCCGAATAAATTTAAAATTAAATTTTAAAAAAGATAAATATTCTTTTTTTTTTGAAAGATCAATACTAATAATGTGTTAATGCATAATAAATGCGGTAATAAATAAAAATATTCGGGAAATAAATTTCCTGCTTACTCACTCAAAGGAAGAGACCAGAAGATCAAGGCATGCAAAAGCAGTGTGAAATATCCATCACAACATTATCCGTCCTTTTTCAAAGAAGGCACGACCAAGAGTGTCAAGCGCCGCTGATTCAGTGGAAATCAAGAATACAAGTGGAAAACCGGCGAAGCAATTCTTAGATTCTCCTCCTCTTCCTCGGTGAGTTGACTTCAAAACTCTCTCACTCTCTGCTGTCCTCGCTCAATGAAACACCACGCAGTTAGTGATATTGGGATATAACTCAACCATGATCCACTGAACTAAATTACTCTTGTTGAAACGGCGGATGCACAAGAGATGGTCTTTTACAGCCACTCCCGACTGACCAGGTCAGGCCCAGAGAAAAGAGTTTTTTTTTAATCACTGTTCGGCGATGATTTAAGAGTGCTATTTGCGGGGTGTTTTCCTTCGCTGTATGGAGAATTTACATTATTGTAAATGTTTACAGCTGAATGAAAATGGATTTTATTTTCTCTCCGTCCTTGTAAATGTCCGCGCGATGACTGAAAAAAGAACTGTCCGCGTTGGGTAGAAATGATTGGTCAATGCTTTTGAGGAATACTTTTTGGAAACTGAAAAAAAAAAAAAAAAGTCAGATAACATTTTAATTTACCTGATAAATTCTGCATTGGGAAAGTATGGTGTGATTTCTTACTCTGTTAATCAAAAACGGGAACACATTTCACGCAGTGTAAAGGCTATATGGCATCAAACTGATTTTCAAGAACTTTTCGTTTAACCCGCTAAGTACTAAAATCCGATTTTACACTAGAAAATATTTCACACGGAAGAATATATTTATGGAAAAATATGTATTCATGAAAACATTACTATAGAAATTAGATACAGTCAGCCTATGACCTGCCGCCAATTTCGTGTGAAGACTTGGAATTGATTCTCAGACAATGGACAATGATAACTATATATACTCATGTACACATCCCTTCTCATGTTTTCACTTAAAAAATATCGCATCGATATTTTCAAATGAGAACATTTGTTCATATATTGTTTCGGATTCACAAATTAATGACTTAACAATCACAATTTTTTTTAGATCAGCATATCTTTACAATTCCTTATAAAGAACAATTTACAATTCCTTAATAAAGTATACATTGATATACATTTCTCTTTCAGTATTTTTTCAGTTTATGGTAAATGTGTTCAGCTTTCTTAATAAGATGGCCAACTATATTATTTTTTATTTTAGCCTTATTTATTAAACATCACATTCTTTACACTTACATCACAAAATTCACTGAATGGAAATGAAGTACCAAACAGAAAGAGAAACTGAAGAGTCTTAGGAAATATACTAGTAGCTAACCCATTACCCACTTTATAATGAATGTGATAGGATAAAAAATTAAAAGAAACAAAGTAACCATTTACAGACAGAAAATACAATAGGAAATTATCTGTTTGCATAATGATGAAAGCAAAATCTGATGTGTACACCACATGACTTCCTTGTAGGGAATATTAAATTATACGCATGTTTTCTTGCATTTCATTTAAACTTATTGGATTCAATAAAATCTATTTCGCCGTTAGCGCATAAACTACAATAGAATAAATGCACTCTTTAAAATTCACTATATTTCTTTACCATAGGGACACTTTGGCGCTAGGTTAACTTAACAACGTTATATTTCGTTCATGTTATAACTCAGATTGCACAAAATTTATATGATTTGAAGAATTATCTAATCGTTGTCACATGTGATATTCAAATACTATAAAAAATCTAGAACGATGCATAAAAGAAATTAAGCAAACAAAAAAAAAAAAAAAGAAACAGTTTTTCACAGACAATTTGGTATTTCTCATTCAATTAGTTCAGCTCTCACTTCGCGACAAGGAAAAAATACATAAAAACTCAAAGTATCTAATTAAAAATTACAAAGTAAATCTTAAACATTTATTTCCTCGAAAAAATTCCAGAAAGATTTAAGCATGATTTAATTCGAAATAATAAATGACGGTGTTATCTTTTTTGTTACGAAGCTTAGTCTCTCTAGATTGGCAACAAATCTACTATTCTGCTGTTTCAAATGTAAACAAGTATTGTCCGTCATGTTATGTAAAAATTAGGCTTAACAGCACTTAAACAGCTTTTAAATTGTTGATAATTCTACAAATATTGCTTGCAGATTTCCTAAAGGGATAAAAACCATAACCGGAAGATAAGAACGACATAATTCAATCATTTTTAAAGCAAAAAATGCACAATTTACGAACATATAAGAGTAAAGAAACTGAGATCACTGAGGCGGGTAACAGAGTGGATATATATATATATATGTATTATTTATATACTTTTGGGGCGGCCGATTGCAGCCAGAAATACGGAGGTGCACAATCTACATGTTATAGCACTCCCATATACAAAATTTCAACGTTCTGAGGCTACTCGTTTTTGAGTTATGCGAGATACATACGTACATACGTACATTACAGACACCACGAAAAGATCTCTTCAGAATTCATTTTAAAGCAGTTTTATAATTTTTTGGAGGAAAATAGTCCTTTATTCTGTTCTTACGTACAGATGTCACGCAAAAACATCGTTAAATTGCATTCGATAGCGATCAAAATGGATATTTTTGTTGAAATATGCTGCCTGAAACTTTTCGTGATTACAATACTTCCTTTTTACTTCGTCCTTTCTTCTATTAAATAGGACAACAATAAACTTCTAGTAATTATTGCTAGATATTTACAAAATAAACTAATATTAAACATTGCTAGGTACAACCAATAAACCGATATAAAATATTGTTAGATATCAATTGTTAAACTAACTACATATAAAAACTGTTATTATGTATGTTTACTTGCCGAAAATTATTTTTTAAAATTAGGTATTGAATTTTAAATTTGATATACATATTTAAATTTTGATATAAAATTGTTACATGATACGAATATTTTCGTTATTTAAAACACTTCTGTAACTGGACGTATAGCACTACGACCAACGACTGAGAAAATAAAGACCGGGTACGGTTTTAAGCCAGGTAAGGGGGTGAATATATATATGTGATAATTTAAAGGTTCGCACTTGTAGTACATTGATAGAATTTAAAACAGAGCTGAACAGAGAAGACGCAACCAATTCACCTTTTAGTGATGGCTGAGAAAAGAAAAACTATTCCGTAGATATGATTGTAAGATTAGTCGTTAAAACATCATTTTCATTTTGTACAGGAAAATTTGCTCTGAGATATATTTTTGCTTAAACTGGTACAACATTAGGGATGCAGAACGAGCCCCACAATTTCTATGTACGCAGTTTACAGTTTAGGTAACAGAAAGAGGATCTTAGAGAAGAGACACGATTTTCCTAGGCAGACCAAGCAGGCAAAGAAAGTGACGCGTACTAACTGCATTCGTATTTATGAGCTCGAAAGTTCGTTTTTTTAATCATGAGCAGCGATTGGGCAAAGATTTTTGCAATGCAACGTAATTGCAGGAAAAGAGTGAGGTAACATGCTGCAGAGTGACACAAAATAGTGCGAAAGATATCTTCGAAGAGGGGATGTTTTAAATAAAAATTGTGAATTTAAAAGTCTATTGGCAATTGGATCCTGCCAAGTTTAATAATTCTGTCAGTATTTTTTTTCATATTTTATATTTTACATATACTATATACACGTTTGTTACTGCTGATTGCAATTAAAAAGGAAGTATATAACTAGATGTTATAGCAGTCTTGAACACAAAATTTTAACATTCTACGACTAATTGATTTTGAGTTATGCTTGAAACATACATACATACTTATGTACGTAGGGGAAAAACTCTTTTTAATCCATTTTACAAGACATTTTGGAAAAGAGAGTCCTATATTCTATATATACATACAAATGTTACTCAAATAAATCATCCAAAAGGATTTAGGTACAATCAAAAATGATATTTCCATTGAAATATGACAGTCAAATTTTTTCGTGATTACAATACATCCTTTACTTCATACAAGGAAGTAAAAAGGATCAGAATTTAAGTTATTGACTAATGTATAGGTACATTGATGGAACTGGAAAGCCTTAATTCTAATTCTCTAACTGGAAAAACTTTTGTGGTTTATTATGACAGAAATAAAATTGAATACGTGGTTTACGATCCAACAATAGCGAGCAATAGAACATTTATTTGTTTTCTTTTCTCGAACGTATGATTCATGCACTTTGATGGGAAAATTTTAAAGATCTTTTTGCTTGTTTAATATTTATCAAACTGCATTGACAAGGAATGTTATAAATTTCCCAAGGATTTATATTAGGAATGAGGTCTACAAAAATAGAATTGTGTATTTAAATGACAGGAAAACTAAATACGGAATTTCTATAAAACATGAGCAATTTTCTAACTGGCAGTAAAAAAACTCATGACTTCCTTGTACGGCTTATTAAATTATACACAATTTTACTGCATTTCATTTAAAATTATTTCCTCGAATTTCATTAGAGATAGATTTCTCATTCATTTAATTCAGTTATCACTTCGCCGCAAGGCAAATATACATAAAAACCTCAAAATATCTTCATTAAAATATTTGAAAAATATAAAAAACATTAAACACCAAATACAGTTAAACAATTTTAAAAATAACTTTTACAGTTATATTTAGAGTTTCTACGCAAAAACAAGCAAGTCGGCCAACGGACAAAAAGGCAGATTTTTCAGTGCGCAAAGCTGAAAGTTAACTTTTGGTCTCACTCAGCAGACAGACACTGAAGGTGCAGAAACTGACTTAATTCACTATTCTGCTAAGTTTCAAATGTAAGCAAATATGGCTACTAAATTAGTCTTAACCGCACTTAAGCAACTTATTATTGAAAATTATTGATAATTCTACAACTATTGCATGCAGATTAATTAAAGATATACAACTATTGCATGCAGATTAATTAAAGACATAAAAGCCTTAACCGGAGCATAAGACCAATATCATTCAATCAGTTTTAAAGCAAAAAAAAAAAAATGGACAATTTACCAACATATAAGGAATTAAAAAAACTGAGCTCACCGAGCTGGGTAACAGAGTGGGTGTACACATATATATAGAGAGAGATTTATATATTTTTTGCGGCCAACCAAAAAGGGAGGTGCACAACTAAATTTACTACATGCTATAGCAATCCTACACACAGAATTTCAACGTTCTGGGGCTACTC